TATTTAAACTTGGTGTCATAAAGCCATGCTTAGAATGGCTGTTGTTTTAATGCCTTCTGAAATTTAAACATTGCAGCCAAATAAAAGACAAAGATAAAAAAAAAAAAAAAGAAATAGAATGATACAAAGCAAAATAATAGAGCAAAAATATCAAAGCACTACTAGTGAAGAAAGCTGGTGACACTATATCAGGTAAAATTGATTTAAGGAAAAAGGTATCAGTAAATATTGAAGTTTCACTATTTTGTGTAATTAGGTTTAATTTGCCAAAAAATATATAAAATTAGGTACATGAATGCACCTCACAAAATAGTCATCAAAAGTATAAACAAATTTGACATAACTTCATTGGCAAATTTAGTTTCATAATTTTGGGAGATCTTAATATGCTTTGTTAACCTTTTTATATGAAATATGGAAACTGTGAGCAACACAGTTACCAAACTTGAGCAACTATAAATGAGAAAAAAGGAGAGTAGGAGAGAGAGGACAAGAGCAGGAGAGAGAGATGGACAGGGAAAATGCTATGCATACATAATATAATGCATATAGTAATCGAAAATTTCAAAAAATTGTTCCCAAGCCCAAATGCAATAGTTACACAAAATGAGCATGTATTGTGTTGTGCAAATTACAACAGGTCTCAAATAATACTTAACATAGAGGCCCTTTTGTATTTCTGACCTCAACAGTATTAGATTAGAACTTATTAATAAAAAGATAAATCCCCATGTAGTTGGAGGATGGTAATCATACTTCTAAATTACCTATGGGTAAAAGAAGAAATTATGTTAAAAATATTAAAATATATAATAAATAATGTAAATTAAAATATGTGAGAAAAAAATAAAATGCTTCTCCAGGGGCAAATTATAGCCTTAAGTACATAAATTATAAAAAAAGAAATATTAATAAATATCCATAAGCCAGCTTCCAACTTTAGAAGACAGAAAAAGATGAAAAGCAAATTAAAAAATACAAGGAAGGAAATCATCTTCAAAAGAGTAAACATTTATAAAAGTAAAAAAAAAATACAATAAACAAGATTAAAGAAGAATAAAAAACTACACGTGCTTATTTGAAAGGAAAAACAAAACAGATAAACCTCCAAAAAGATTGATCACAGAAATAAACGTAAAGTGCAAATACAAATTATTACAAAGAAAACACTGAGCAAGATGACAAATTAACTCTAGATGTCTACATTCAGCCAAATTGTTGTGCAAATATATGATATAATAGAAAAGTCTCATGCATATAATTACAGATGAGGCAAAGATTAAAAAGGGACATAATTATACCTAGCAAATATGAAAATATAGTAAGTATTCTATATACTAGTTTATCCCAACAATTCTGAAGTTATATGAAATGATGAAATGAAAATCTTAGAAAAATTTCACTTACCAAAAATGACCTAAAGATCAGATGCATCAGTAGTATCACATTTAAAAAACTGAAGCTGTTATTAAAAATCTCCCCACAATGGATGCATCCCTCCAAAGGTTTGACAGCAGGGTTCTGACAATGTTCAAATGCTAAAAAGATATACAGTGCTCGTGCATGGAAACAGCTAATGGAATTAATTTAGTAAAGAATACACTGAGTAAACACATCAAGTTTCTCCAAATTAATCTTAAATTTTAACATAATTTCAATAAAAATCTTAGATGTCTGGAATTTTCCAAAGTTGATTTAAAATTTATGTGAAAGTCTCACTTAAATTTTGGGGAAGAATTTTTATAAAAGAATAAGAAGAGATATTTGCCCTATCTCTAGTGTGATTTACTACTAAGCAATTCTTGGCACAGGGATAGACAAAGTTATGAATGTAATAAAATTAAGATCCCAGAAAACAAACTTATATGGAACATTGATTTATGGAGGAAAGAAAGAGACGTGTCAGATCAGTGAGGAAAGGAAGTATATTCTAAAATTTGAGTGAACAAAACAGTTAGTTATTTATATGAAAAGCCAAACAAACAAAATTGAATTCATATCTCACAGCATACACAAGTATCAGCTGTACTCATATTCCTACTTAAATGTTAAAAGCAAAATTATTTAACATTTAGGAAAATGTAGATAAATATCTTTTTTAGCTTTGGGATAAAGAAAGTTATCTTAACATAAAAGTATTAAATACAAAAGTAAACATAAACTTGACTATATTAAAGTTTAAAATTTGTGTCCATAAAAGGCACTTAAAGCAACTGAAAATATAGGTTATAAACTGAGAGAAAATAGTGTAATATATATAACTAACAAAAGGCAAATATCAAAGATATTTAGCAAACTATTGAAAGAAGTTAATACAACAGGGAAAAACATGGGCTAAAGTATAAACACACAGCTTACCAAGGAGGAAAAAAATTGGCCAATATGACTATGAGGAGATGTTCAATCTTAATAATAATTAGGAAACTAAAAATCAGAACTTAAGTAATATATTATTTTATAATAATTCAACTGGAATTGGCAAATATTAAGTCAACAATATGAGAGTTGGAAAAAATGTGAAACAACAAACCCCTTTAACGTAGCAGATAAAACGGTCAATGAGTACTAACACTTTGGAAAATTATTTGACATTATCATTAAAATTCTGTGATCACATGTCTCATAAACCAGCATGTCCACTCTTCAGAAAAACTTGCAAGAGACAAACCAGTATACTTGTTCAAGAAGGTTACAAGAATAATAAAAAACATGGGAATAAGACACGTGCACGTAGGTAATAGAATGAATAAATAAACAGTAATATGTTAAACGTGAGGTTTTCCACCTCGGGTGACTTTGCTTCCCAGGGGACATTTGGCAATGTCTGGAGACATTTTTGGTTGTCACAACTGGGGGAATGCTAC